AGGATACATAATTTTGACATTTAATAAATAAACAATAATTAAAAATGAAAATAAAGCCCTCGCCTCGGCTTGGTTGTGAAAGGTACTCTTGCAGTCGCTTGGAGATAAAATGTTGTATGCCATTCGGCCCAGAATGTCTTTGCGATTCTAAACCTTCGCTACGCGTCCGCCTTCAAACGTCGAGCTCACCACAAAAAGACCCATTTCTTGGCCTAATGACATAAATAACTATATTTTGTATTTTACCAAGAAAACGGGTCTTCCGAAACCACTTGAGCGCAATTCATACTATACGTACCGGCACCGTACGGTACGGTAACGTGACGGTGGCGGTGCGTACCTATGGGCGCATTCTTTTATTCACCGATGGATCCATCGATGACCAGTCTATCTTCGTCTAGCTCATAGAAAACCGGAATGGCTGTCCCATAATGGTGGATTCAGTTTGATACATCGATGAATTAAAGAAAGCGCCCTATAGTATGAATCGCGCTTTATACGTACTCCGAACGCATTTCAGTGCACGAAAAATGGAAGTTGGTGTAACAAGCAGACACATCAACGATCATCCGTATTTATTTACGCAATAATTTGATAAATGTAATAGTATTGAACAATTTAAAACGAATAAATTAGTGGAAATTATGAATGAAATATGCTCTTGGAGCTAATTCCTGAACTTGTTCATTGTCGCTGCCATCTAGCGATAAGAAAACGTAAAATTCATCATAAGAAAATAGCGTTGAATTCTTTGGTCATGGCCAAGAAGTAGGTCTTGTGCCGAGTTCCGAGTTCAACGTTTGAACAAATGAGCGAAGCACAAAAAGACATTCGGGGCCGGATTTTATCTTCAAGGGAATGCAATATTTTCTTTCTTTTACAACTCAGCCACTGCTGTTTTCATCAATTTCTCGGAAAAATAAACAGCTCCTACTTATTACTACTTATAAAGTTATGACTTATGCCTCATTCTCACTTGCGCGAAATTCGCTCTTTTTTGACATTGCTTCGACCTTTGCTTCGACAATTTGACGTTTGATACATGCATAAAATGTCAAATCGTAGCAATGTCAAAAAAAGAGCGAATTTCGCGGAAGTGAGAATGATATGCATTATGCCTAATTCCCACTTGCGCGAAATTCGCTCTTTTTTGACATTGCTTCGACAATTTGACGTTTGATTCACGCATAAAACGTCAAATTGTTGAAGCAATGTCAAAAAAGAGCGAATTTCGCGGTTATGAGTACTAGGCTAGTATCAATTTTTTTTCCTTTCAATTTCAAATCAATATCAGGTCACTCGGAACATATTAATTCTACTGCTCCGAACATGGAAGCTCGTGAAAGCAAGCCAGACAACTGGTCTGGTAACCCGTATTTATTTTTTCTCGTACTTATCATTTATGCAGTGGATCACTTCTGTCTGTGACAAGTGTTGACGACAATAAAGTTTATTAGACCGCTTGAAGATAAAAAAATCTAATGATCATCTCATATAGTCTATAATAAAACGTAATTCACATTTACATATTTACACTCATGTATTTTTAATATACCTGAACTAGTGACGCGAATGATAAAGTCTATACATATTCGAATAAATAATACATTATAATATAATATGATAAAAAGTACGGAAATTATAGGTCTCAAAATTTAATCAGGGTGAAGGCCGTCACACACGCTTTTGCATAGCTGAAAATCAGGTGACCTTTAATACAACCTATGATTGGTTGGAGCTTATGCTTACTAAGCGTTATGCAAAACCGTGTGTGACGGCCTTAAAATTCCGCTTTGTGGAGAAGAAAATAATATTGTATGCTTTTGCCGAAAGATGTCGCTACGTGCCGTTGCCGTCATGATATAAATACATAATTAATTATTTGTCTATATTTATAGTCTTCAAAATCATCAGTATTATATTTCTTCTTGGTTCATTTGGCTTTATGGCTCACCTAAATTACATATGCAAGTATGCAAGTTAACCGAATAAAAGAAATGGAACTCGATAGCAGTGATGCCATATTATGCTTCGCGAACTGTGGCGTTAGGCATTCTTTTTTACGGGATTCGGGAATATGGAATATGGCAACCTTGATCGGTATTGCAGAAAGCTTGAAGAGGCACATACCGACTGAAATAAGCGTGGTTGTCGAATTCAAATACAAATTATGAACAAAACAAATTACATACAAATTATGTACAAAAAAATTATTTCATTTACTTTTTGAGTAAGTAGATACTTAAAATACTTTTACTTGATTCTGCAAAAACTTCATACTTAAAAATTATAATTTTTATTTGGTACTGGTACTTGAATTTACAAAACAAAAGTACCTACATAATTCAAAAACTGGGTATTTTAGATTCAGTTGGGTTAGACAGAGGTACGGGTCTTCAAAAAAAAACTAAATCAAAGAGTGCTTTGATTACAAAGTCAAAAACGTACAGGGTATATTTGATTATACAGGCTGTAAAAAAAATAGTGTACCGGACTTCGTATACTACATATGAAATTTTAAAAAAAAGTTCCTATGAACATAATAATATGCCCTAGGATGCTCCCTGAAGAAGTTAAAACCTTTCAAACGGTAGATGAAAATAATAGATTTTATTTAGATAGAAAAAAAAATTCAAATACAAAACATGACAGTTTTTTTCTAAATTATCTTTTAACGTTATCGGAAAAAACAAAGTCGCATCGGAAAATGGAGAAACGTAGACAACTTCGACTTTTTTCAATGGAACACGTACCCTGTATATATTATGCGATGAAATTAAGGATCCTTTCTTCCTGATTCCAAATATATACATATAGGTATGTATATTGATCATATTTGCGTTGCGTGAGCCATTATTGACATATCTTAGCTTAAATTATAAATAAATTGCGAAGAAATTTTATAAAGATAGAGATTCTTATGGAATAGGGGTGATAGCAAGATTTGAATAATATCTGGGAAAATTGTGAGTGAAAAACCATTGGTATAACACTGCATATTCTTCGTTATTTCTTATCTTAATTATTTGGTGCTTATCGGCCCGTATCGTATGGACTTGGAAGTTTAGATTCGCTTAGTTCGAAAATTTGCATATAAAGAAGAACTCCAAGTCAATTAAAGGCATTGAACCAAACAAACACACTGGAACGGGCGCACTGCTTTATGCTAGTCAAATTTTGATGTATGCAACCCTGCAAAAGGCATTCCAATCAAAATGGCGGCCAATGCCAGGTGACAAGAAATGAAATTGGCGCAATAAATTTAATTCAAACAACCCTGATATTTTTATCAAAACAATGCTTTTTGTGTATTTTGTGGTGTTTCAAGGTGATTTTTTAGTGCTTGGAAGGATAATTTCCGTATTTTAGGATGGAAAGTTTTAAGTTTAAGAAATTATTAGTGGAAAACCCGGATGTTATCAAAAGTTATTATTTCTTTGTGACAAACCTTTTCTTACTAAACCATTAGGTAGTTACTATCCAGGATTTTTTAACTGTTTAGTTTTTTCTTAACCAAATCCTGAATCCTGTACAATTTATTTTTCTGCTATTCAAGGTGTCGACACAAGCTAAGGATAGTAAATGGCTTGGATTCATACACCGTTTATGTGGAGAGACTTTTTGGTTTTTTAATATGGATTTCGTCAGATTTTTTCTCTTTCGCTACAATCCATGAAGCCCAACAAAGTACAGACAAATCGTTTTTCTCCGTTGAAAACCTGTGTTTTGTCTCTGCAGGAACGGCATGAGACGAGACTTTCTCGTAATTAGAACGGTTCCTACAACTAAATACAGTACATAACGTATGCACTTTCCAAGAAATTAGAGAGATATCGGTAATCCAAAAAGTGTCATGCAGTATTAGCGCTTACGTTATTTTGACATTAAACCTATGCGCGATTCGATTTTTAATACTACGTACTAAAATAACGTTACCGCATAACGTAATTTACCCAGCATTTACGTTAAGCCCTATTTCGAATAACGTCTAAAAATAACGCCGTGGAATAATAGGTTATGTTATGTTTATTATTTATTTTATTATTTTTGTTGTGTTCAAGTGAATATGGAGTGTTCAATAAATAGTAAAAAAAGCAAATCCTCTGTCCCTGACCATGAACAACAGACAACACAAATCAAATCACAACAAGGTACAAGTTAGGCTACGGTTATAAAATAACGGATGCGAACAGGCAAATTTTACGTTAAACTGTTTTCCGATAACTCTAATTTGAAAGTATGATACCGCTTTACTTTAAAAAAATAACTCTTGACGTTATTACCGTCCATACGCGCTATCTGTTTTACCGATATCTCTCTAATAACACCTTACTACTTCAACTTTACACAAATCAAAAATCGCAATAAAACGTAGTGTATATGAAATTGGCCTCCATTTTGAATTTCTTTTTGACAGGTCGTTGGATTAGCAAATGACGTGTTTTCTTCATTGGTTATATGTCAACCAATGAACTATAGTTAAAAACTGGAATGCGCACACATTGCCATATCTGCCAAAAAAATGTAGCCATGAAAGATAGATGCCACAAGGGGGAATGTTGTTTTTTTCTGTTGCTCGCTGACATATGACGTTTTCGAAAGTTTTGTCATATTTCCCTTCACAGGTTTCATCAATTGGAATACGTGTTGGAAGCAATTTTCGCCATTTAACATAATGAGTGCGACAAAAACAGATATCCCCTCCGCAGCAGCCGCACTAGGCTTCAAGTTCGTCCTTATGTGTTAGCATTCCAGTTTTTGGTTATAGTTCATTGATGTCAACTGTGACCGACCGGTTAATCGTCTTTAATTGATACTAATCTAGTTTTAGCAACTAATCTGGATTAAGTCCTTACGGTGCATTTGGCCATAAATCTTCTCATCTGTCATGTACATTTCTGTGTAAATGTACCTTTATTATTTTATTACAGAACAGTGTATTTTTTCAAAGTTAAACTTGGCAACAGGGTATTAGAGACGGTTGAGAAATGAGAATCGATGGTGCCGCCAACAGGTTTAACTAGTGGCGGTGGTCGTTGGAACTAAATGAATTAATTTGAGTGAAGTAAAGTAAAGCCGCCTATAGCCTGTCGTCGTTGTCTTTCTTGTGTATTGTTACAGTGCGCGTCCCTTTGTAATTATTGTGAAATTTGTATACCTTTTTTATAAGTTTTTGTTTATCTGTTTTAAAAAAGTCGGTTTTAATGATTTAAGACAAAAAAAAACTCTAATGTGCGCTGCTGCGAATATCTCAAGAATTTTTATTCGAAGTGAAAAACCCATAGGCTTTATACATTTTTGATTGGATGTGCAATGTGATACGTAATGGCGGGTAAGGCGTTACAGTGGAAATCCGTTTCGAATCCCACTGGGCCCCAACCCAGGCCCCGACATGGACATCGGGCCGTTTCTATTAGAGATTTAATGGTCGTTTTTGGTGGCGGAAACGAAGGAATCGTGGATGAACTCCATGTTTACAACACAGGTACCTACATGTTTGACAAATATGGCACCCGGTATTTTTTTTTGTTTGGGTATTTAAATTGTTCGGAGGTTAACGCAGCTGATAGCTGCATGTCCTATTTGAGTCAGTAGTGAAATTCAAACATTTTGTTACAATATTTGTGATGAATACAAAATTTAATTTTTGACTCACTTCCCTTTTGTTAGTCTACAACAAAATGGCGGCATATATACAGTTGACATTAGCACAAATACAAATAAAATCTGCTTTTTCTCTATCTCTGGTTAAACTCCCATCATTTTTAAATTAATCGCAATTTTACTACCTCATCTTCAAAATTTCCTTTGAATAATTATTTGTTTATATGGCAGTAGGGTATACTTATTTTGTTTTGCAAAAAAATTAACCTATAAAAGTAAGATACCTAGTATATTGTACACTATTTTTAATACCCCATAGGAATAGTGCTTACTTTGTTATTGCAGGGAAACTGAATAAAACTTAAGGTAACAGTTGGATCCGCCTACCAGACAAATATATTATTTTTAAAAGAAATTTGAAATAAATTAGTAATAATGAATCATATTACCGACAATAAAAGTGGCTGAAAGAAATTCTAATTTTATATTTTTTTTGCTAAAAATTGTTTTATTATCTGGTGGCGCTATATCCAATAATTAGGAATGGGATAAAGTTGGATAGGTATAGCCCCACCCCACCAGAAATATTGACAATTTTTGAGGCAAATTTGAAATAAATTAGTAATAATTATGGATAATATTAACAACAATAAAGGTGGCGGAAAAAAGTTATATTATAATTTTATTTATTTTTTGCTGAAAATTGGTTTATTTTATGATGGGCGATATCCAATGATTAGGCATGGGATAAAGTTGGATGTAGCTCCACCAGAAAAGTTGCCAATTTTCAAGAAAAATTTGGAATAAATTAGTAATACAGGCCCGCTAACACCTTCTTCCTGCAGTATTTATCATTCTGGTATTTTCAAAAATAGTTTGGTTTAAGGTGCATAATGCACATAATGCACAATTTCAATTCATAATCGATAATTTTTAAAACTTCATATTTAAATACATCTGTTTATACAAAGCATAAGTAGTGGATAGTGGATAATTTAGTGCATAATGCGTAATTCATAAAGTTGACTAACTTTTAACTTTTACGAATTATCAATTATGCATTGTGCAAAAAACGCTAGTGCGCAAGCGTATATTAATTGATTATTTCCAACTTTGTTTTTGTTTTGGTTTTGCTTCATAACCTCGAAATCTTGTTGTCTGTTTTCCTGTTGTTTTCAATGGTTTCTGATCTGGAATCGAGTTTTTCCATTTTCAATTATACAAATGGGATTTTTCCTGATAATATAAAGCCTAATTTATAACTATATTTAATTATTTATCATTTTATGAAAAATAACAAGTGTCAAACTCAGCTGTCTTGTCAGTTTTTAATGCACAAAAATTATGCGTTGTATAAACACCTCTTTTCTCTTATGAATTACGCACTATCAATTATGAATTAAAATTGTGCATTATCCATTAAGAGTTGGCTAAACCCACCTTTACATTAAAATAATTGAATATAGACAGTAGCTTCTTGTGTTATTGTCCTTTTAAAGTTGTAAATTCAAATCACCTGAATTAAATATTAATCAATCAAAAGACAAGAGAGACCCACTTGAAAAAAGTGGGGTGTATAGGATTAAGTTGATCGTAATTCTCAATACATGGGACAGACAGGAAGAAATTTAAAAAAATGCATTACACAACATAAAAGTTGCTTAAAATCCCCAAATGACAACAAGTCAGCTTTTGGCATGCATTTACAACAAAACTTGCACTCCTTTGATAGACAAAAAAACCTCAAAAAAAACTTTAAAATTTTACACAGCCAAAAGAAAGGTTTTAAGCTGAATACGTTGGAAAATATTGAGATATTGCTAGGATGGAGTCTGAACAAACTATAAGGCAATTTTTCGCAAGGATAATCAAGCATACCTACTCAAGTATGCTGGATTATGTGATGTGTCAGTTGTGTCTTACTCCCCTAACTCCCCCACCATCAAATTCTGGGATACTTGAGGATCAAGAACACTTAATTTCTTCTGTGAGAACAGACCGAAAATCACCCTTTCTACATTTAAAATCGATGAAAAAAAAAAAACTCACTAGCACAACCTGAATCGCAAGCATTCCATCAACATCTGCGGGTGACATCATCACTATAAGCTGCTGATAGTGACGTCACTCGCAGGCCCAGAATTTGATGGTGAGAGAGATAGGGGAGTATGACACAATTGACACATCACATAACCCAGCATAATCAGATTATATCCTCGCGAAAAAATTGCCTACCGTTCAATGGTTTGCTGAAGACAAATGTGAGTTCATTTTTTAAGGGATGTATAAGTCTTTGTTTAATTTATTATATTTTTATACACGATCGACTTTTATACATAAATTATGCTGTGCAATTCACGACTCTGGCTTCAACAAATGACATTTTATTTGAATCGTAAGTTATCTGACTCTCCACTTTGTGGGATTTTTTATGATTCTCCTTGGTGTATGTAATTAGCAAAAAATTTCTTATATTTTAGCTCTTGTAAAGCCTGATGATGGGATGTAATGTATAGATCCTGAAGATCCTGAAACTAGTAGCTTATCAACAAATAAAGGATTGAAAGATTTGAGACTTTCCCTCATTTTTTCACCCCTTAAAATATAGTTTCCTTGAATGACCCAGTGCAAGGCCATTTCAGGGAAGCTGCAATGATTGTCAATTTATATACATATATATATAACAATATAGTTCTTTCTTTCTTCTGCATTTAGGTTAATGAATTTGAAAGTTTTTTGAACTTACTTTTTCAATCAAAGGCTTTTTTTAAGAATTTTTGTTCAACATTTTAAAAAGGTGGTCACTTGCCCGTTTTTGGTTTTTTCCCAGTCATTCAACCAACCAACATACCATGGAATAATTGGAATATCCTTGTTGACTGATTGAAAATTGATCTAACCTCACATTGTCAAAGACATAAGGCAATTTTTCGCGAGGAACCAAGCATAATTTTTTGCTGGATTATGTGATGTGTCATACTCCCCTAACTCCCCCACCATCAAATTCTAGGATCTCAAGGATCTACACTGACTTAATTTCTTCTGTGAGAACAGACCGAAAATCACCTTTTCTAAATTTAAAGTGGACGAAAAAATTAACTCACTAGCACAGCCTGAATCGCAAGCATCCCATCGAGGTCTGCGGGTGACGTCATCACTAGAAGCTGCTGATAGTGACGTCACTCGCAGGCCCAGAATTTGATGATGAGAGAGTTAGGGGAGTATGACACAATTGACACATCACATAACCCAGTATAATCAGATTATGTTTGATTATCCTCGCGAAAAAATGCCTATAATTAGGCAATCCAATCCATCTGTCACAAAAAAAATTCAATATGGAGTGGAGGCCAGACGAGTTTGTTTTGTATATGTATTTTTTATGTGTTTTAATTATTTTGCTTGCGAGTTTCATTATTAATGAACTATTTGTTGACTAGGTTTAATTGTTTAAATTTTTTTCAATATTAATTATTTATTTGTATACTTAAATAATACTTGAAAATTCCGCCAAAGAAACAATTTACAACATCTGGCAACATTGCAACTATCTGTCAAAACTGTCAGGAGCTTCGACTCCATTGGCTGCAATTAGATGTTCTCTTCTGTTTTTCAAGTGTAATATTTATTTTGTTGCTCAATAGTTTCAAAGAGTTTCTACTGTGAAACTGACCAGAATGGCTGTTCACTCAATTTGTAAGTTTGAATAATTTTATTTTAGTGTTGGACAGATTGATTGCTGAATCTTGCATGATTTTAATTTTTAGGTTATGTCCTTTGAGGGTGGTCTATGTCAATGAAGTGGTAAGGAGGTTTGGAATGGCCCTTTGCCTATCTACTCAATACATATATTTGCGGCCAACATTATAGTGAGAGAACGGGAGATCCAATAGATTTTCTGCCCTTACTAGCGCTATCTCATCCTGGAATCAATTGAATGACGCAAAGCGTATTCCAAACCTTCTTACTACTTTACTGGGTCTATGTACAGTCGTTAGCATTAAAAATGGGACACCCGATTGACAGGTCTTGTGATTTTTCGCTATTTTGGGTAAATCAGTCTTCGCTATTTTGGGTAAATCAGTCTTTTCTCTACAATGGATTTTATGTCAAGTATGATGATCCCTGTCATTGCCGTAGGTATAGCTGGTGAACTCGTTCTACGATAGGAAAAATCAGATGTCTCACTATCAATGCTCAGGCCTGTATATACTCAAATGTTAATTCACACTGCCTTACTGAAATTACATTCTACTGCAGCACACTCACACACTCTACTCATTGCCATTTTCTCAATAGCTACTCTTCCCTCATGAGAATGAAGGTTCTGTCTTAGTCAGCCATATTTTTATTTCCATAATACCGACGGAGACAGAGCAGCTCTCGAGAAAGCTGTTCCCCAGTTACAAGCATACGGGCTCAAATCAAATCAAAATATGCTTTATTGTATAAAAAGACATGGTCTCATTTACAAAGCTCAAATATATTATGCTTACATATACGTAATTAAATAAAGAAAAAATTAAATTCAAATGAAATATTCAGTCACCAAATTGCATTGTAAAAAATGTCATAAAACTGTAAAATAAATAAGACAATATATATCAATAAAACAAAAAAACATGTAAGTACAAAAAAGGTAAAATAAAATAATAAAACAACAGTCACACCAAATATGTCTAAAAATAAATCCTACATATACATACATAAAGGTTTACTACCCCATTAAAGTCTGTCTAAAATATAGTTTTTATGCAAGAAACGGTCACAACCATACCAGTCTAAAAAGTTTCAGAATAAAATTCATCCAATGTATAATATGCTCTGTCCTGTAAAAACAATTTAACCTTTCTCGAAAAACATTTCATGTTCTGAATAGTT